AGAGAGAGACCGATTAATTCCAGTCACCCTGCCAGTAGATGAGATCTGTGGTCCTGAATTTTAGCTTGTTTCCAGGACTACTTCTTCAAGAAAACCATGTAGTTCCCAGAGTAAGTCATTCTCTGTTATAGGGTCTCATAGGCAACTCTTATCACTAGTGGGGGCTCAGGTGGATTAGCATTTCTTTGCTTTTTCAACAAAGAAAGGTGAGCAATCTCCTCCAGTGTGATTTACAGCCTCCAAAAACCCACTGGAAGGTCACTTATGAGTTAGCTCCAATTCAGTGGCAATGAGAGTTTTTATTGCTATTGAAATGAAATATCAACTATAACATTCAGTTCTTTATTCTCTCCATCCTTGACTAGACTGTGAATGCCATGAGGATTTGAAGAAAGCCTGTCTAGTTGTTGCAGGCCGAGGGTTCCAAAGAACGGAATAATTTTATAATTATTAACAATGAGACAAACAGCCAGGAATGAGATAGAGCAGAGAGCATAAAACAGGGGGTCAGCAGTTCTCGACTGAAGACTCCAAGTCATGTTTCTCTGTATCTTTATTGAAAATTATCAGGAAGTAAATCACAAATGAAGCCAATCTCTCTATTGAAAACCTGCTTGACTCAGGAGGGAGGGGTTCACAAATGCAAGAATTTGGTATACCCTTAAGGATTACCTTGATGCCTCAGGGTGAACTCTAGTTCAGGAAGTAACACTTCCTCTGTAGGGGGCCCCTAGCTGTCTCCTGTCTGCAGAGAACAAACAGCTCATTTTCTATGATCTGTCACAAGAGAAATCCTAACTTATAAATCTATAATTCCTTCAATTCCTGAACAAGGGTTTTCATATAATATTTGGTATAAAGTTTGGCTTCCCATATCTAGTCATGATTGTATCTGGGCATCTACCTCCATGTGTATCGTTGCCACTCACTATGCAAAAAGAACAAACAGATATGTCTTAGAGAAAGTGCAGCCAAAGGCAAAGATGGCGAAGCTTTATCTCATATACTTTGGGCATGCTGTTAGAAAGAGTTATTTCTGAGAAAAGAAATTTATGCTTGGAAAGATAGAGTCACAAAGGAAAGGAAGACCTTCAATGAGATGGTCTGACATAATGATTGCAGCAACGAGCTCAGTATGTAAAAAATGATCGGGTGGCATGGACTAGGACAGGGTTCAGACTGTTTTTCATAGGGTCACAATGACTATTATTCAATCAAATGGCACCTAATTACAACAACAGTAACCATATAGTGGTTTAAAATCAGGAAAAGTCTGTGTCAGGGTTGTATGATCCTTTTCCATATCTATTCAATATGAGTAAATAATTCGAGAAGCTGAACTATATGAAGAACATGGCATTAAGATTGGAGGAAGACTTATCAACAACATGTATTATGCTGACGAACCCATCTTTCCTTTTTTTTTTTTAAACAATCTTTCTTGCTGAAAGTGAAAAGCACTAGAAACACTTGCTACAGAAAATCAAAGACTACAGCCTTCAATATGGATTACATCTTAACATCAAGAAACAAAAATCTTTGCCACCCAACAAGAAGACAACACTGTGATAGATAGATGATAGATAGATAGATAGATAGATAGATAGATAGATAGATAGATAATAGAGAGAGAGAAGATTGACGTTGGCAAGGATTTAATTTTACTTGCACCTACAATCAACATCCATGTTAAGAAATCAAAAGTTGTGTTGCCTTGAGAAAAAATCTGCTGTTAAGTGCTACAGAGCACCAGTGTCAGTTTTGTTGTTGTTGGTGTTGTTGTTATGTACCATCGAGTTACCGGGAGACTCATAGTGATCCTATGTACAACAGTCTTAAACCCTGCTCTATCCTGTGCCAATTTCACTGTCTCCGACACTCCTACCCCCATTACCCCAGTCACTGAATCAATCCACCTCATAGAGTTCCTCTCATGCGCTGTCCCTCCACCCTCCCAAGCATGACGTTCTTCTCTAAGGACTGACCCCTCCTTGCAACACGTCCAAAGGATGTCAGATGAAGCTTCAGAATTCTTGCCTCCAAGGAGAAGCCTGGTTTAACCCTCTCCAGGACGAACCTATCTGTTTTCTTAGCAGCCCATAGTATATTCAGTACTCTTCTCCAATACCACAGCTCAAAGGCATTAATTCTCCTTCTATCATTGTACACCTTTCTGATGCATAGCAAGTGATTGTAAAGACCATGGCCTGTATATATGTATATAGTCTCCAGAGTGACATCATTGCTCTTCAGTAGTTTGGAGAGGTCTCTTAACAGCAGACTTTCCCTTTATAATATGTCCTTTTAACTTCCTTGCTGCTAGTGCTAAAATTGTTGATTGTGAAGTCAAGCAAACTAAAGCTGTTAACAATCTCAGTCTCTTCACCATCTATCATCATGCTGCCAATTGGCCCAGTGGTGAGAGTCTTTGTTTTCTTGATATTGAGACTTAAAGACATAGTTGCCTGTTCCAAGTCATCATCTTTTCAATTGCTTCCTATGCATCTGAAAGTTGTTGCTGTTGTTGTTAGGTACTGTTGAGTCAAGTATGACTCAGAGTGATCCTATGAACTATAGCTCTGAACTATGTCTTATCCTGTACCATCCTTACAGACTCTGACATACTTAAACCCATTGCTGCCCATTGATTGTGTCAGTCCACCTGGTTGAGAGTCTTCCTCTCTTTTGCCATCCCTTCACTTTTCCAAGCACTTTATCCTTCTCCAAGGAATTGCCTTGCCTAGCAACAGGCCCAAAGTATGTAAGACAAAGCTTTATCATCTTTGCCTCCGAGAACACTATGGCTGCACCCTCTCTAAGACATATCTGTTTTTTCTTTTGGAAGCCCATGGGATACCAGTACTCTTCTTCAACACAGAAACCCAAAGGCATCAATTCTTCTTCTGTTATCCATCCTTCATTGACCAAATCTCAGCAGCACAGCAAGTGACTGAAAAGACCATGGGCTGAATCAGGTGCACCTTAGTCATCAACCTAGCATCATTACCACTCAATAATGTGGAGAGGTCCCTGACTGAAGACGTGCTCAATACAATATGTCATCTGATCTCCTGACTGCTGGCACCCAAGGTTGTTGACTGTTGAGCCAAGTAAAAGGCAGCTCATTGACAGTTTCAATCTCTTCTCCATCCATCATGATATTGCATATTGGTCCAGTGGTGAGGGGTTTTGTTTTCTTGACGTTGAGATGCAATCCATTTTGAAGGCTGCAGTGTTTGATCTTGTGCAGCTAGGGCTTCAAGTTCTTCTCACTGTAAAGATAGGTTGTGCAAATCCACCAGCTGCTCTAGTGCGATTACAGATTCTGAAAACCCATTGGAGAGTCATCTATGAGCCGGTTCTAACTCAACGGGTTAAGCTTGAGCTCGCTCTAATTATTAAACAGTTGGAATAAATGAATGAAGTGATGAATGAGCACATTCCTAGACGAGGCATGCATGTTTTACACCGGACTGTGTTTTTGAAGCCGTTTTCTTCTCCTTTGCTTCTTCCTGTCCCTTGAGACCATAGTCCTTTCTCTGCCCTTCTCCATCACCCCTACCTTAATCCATTCCCCTTCTCCCCACCTGGGGCTCTGCAGCTGGGACTCTGTGGCTTTAAGGCCGGTAGAAGCTCAGCCGAGCGTTGATTGGTGGTTTATTCTAAAGGCTGGAGGATGAGCTCATCCGCAGCCAATGGCTGGCGTTGCACCGGCTGGAACCCTGCACCGGACTGAAGGGTGGAAAGCAGCCGCAGGTGCCCGGCCGCTGGCCGGCGGGGTGACTGGACGGCGGCGGAAGGGTAGGTCTGGCCTGCGTGGAGCTCCTGGACAGGAGGTGCAGGGTTTGCACCACTCCATCCTGTCCCTCGGCCGGAGGATGCCTGTACCTCGCTCCCCGCAGCGCGGCCCTGCGCACGGTGCGCCGGGGTACCAGAGCCCCTCTCTTTGGGTCCAGGCGAGAGTGTACGGCTCTCCTGGCCAGAACCGTCCGGTGGGGTGGCCCTTGAGACCGAAGCCCTGACCGGTATCCAGGATCCAGGGGAGGCTCAGCCTGTCAGGGGCCCTCAAAGTACAGGCCCCTGAGTCACAGATTCCCCCTCCCCGCCCCCCCTCCCCGGGGCTGGGTGGGGCAGGCAGAGAATGACCTCCCTCCTCCTGGCCATTCCAGGCCAGAGTCCAGCTCTTCAGGGCCTTGGGCATTTGAGTTCCCGGACCCCAAACCTCTGTGCTCCTCCCTTTCCACAAGAGGCTGACCTGGGGGTGGGAGTTGGGTCCTGCCGCTGTCAGAGAGCAGAGAGATGTCCATCGCAGGGATCCCTCCCCTTCCTGCAGCCACTGCTGTCACCGCTTTGGCCACTGGGCCCACGCCACTCCAGGAGAAGCTGTGGTCAGGGCCTCAGAGGTCAGAAGGCCTGGGAGACTCTGCAGAGGTCCAGCAGGGAGCACAGGGCCGCACCTGTGGGATCTGACGGGCCCCTGGGGCTCTGTTCTTGTCTTTTCCGTTTATGATCCCTTCACTCATTCCCTGTGTCAACAAGGCCCAGTTCTCTTCTGGGCAGCATAAGAGGTTGCACTCACTGACCACCAACCCCCACCTCAGGAGGGCTGGAATGGTGGGGGGTGCAGTCCAGGGAGGGGCCATCTGAATTGAGCCTGGCCATGCCCCTTCCTCAGGACAGTTTCTGTGTTTAATGTGTACGAGACAGCAGCTTGCACATCAGCAACAGCCCAGCCCTCTCCAGTGCTCAATGCATAGTAAGAAGAAACACTCATCACACTGAATTTAAACAGAACAGAAACCAGCACAAGCAGTGTTATTCTGTTACTACCTCCACTGAGGATGCACCTGCCAGTGGAAGCAGCTCTTCCCACTTGAGCGCTAATTCTTGCAGCGCCTCAATCTTCAGTGGAAGAAATAGGGATGCAGAGAGGGGTGTCACTCCCTGCTAGGTGTCCCCTAATGCATCTGTCCATTCCAGGTGCTAACCACAGGCCAGCCATGAGCCTGGTGGCCTGCGAGGGCCCACCTGCCCCCAGCCTGGAGCCTGAGCCCTGCTCCCGAGCCCGGTCCCAGGCCCGCGTGTACCTGGAGCAGATTCGAAACCTCGTGGCCCCGGGGGCGCCCGACATGACCAAGCGTGACTACCTGGTGGATGCAGCCACGCAGATCCGGCTGGCCCTGGAGCGTGATGTCAGCGAGGACTATGAGGCGGCCTTCAACCACTACCAGAACGGGGTGGATGTGCTGCTGCGCGGGATGCATGGTGAGGGAGGGCCGGCAGGGGCTCTGAGGGGCTGGTGGGCTTGTCACAGGTCCAGCCACACCGGGAGAGCCTGCAGGGCCTCCATGAGGGACAATATAATGGCCAGCATTCATTAAGCGGTTACTATCTGCCAGCCCCAGGGAGCTCTGGTGATTTAGTCGGGCCACCTCAAAGGCCACGCCTTTCTAGCGGTTCTCACCTGAGCTCAGTGGGAGAAAGATTAGCAATCTTCTCCTATGTGATTTATAGCCTCAGAAACCAAATGGCGGGTCAGCTGTGAGTTGGTTCTGACTTGAAGGCAATTAGTAGTTTATATGTGAGGCTCTAGTGTAAGCTCCACAGCCCTGTTCTGAGAACCACAAGGCCAGGCATCTTCCTTAGTTTGAATCCACTAACTGTTCCTTGAGGGAGCTCTGGTGGCCTGGTGGTAAGTTAGTGCACTGCAATCCCAATGATGTGAGGATCAAGGTTCTAATGCACCAGCTGTTCCCTGGGAAGGGGATGTGCAATCTCCTCCCATGAGCTTTATCACCTCTGAAATGCTCCTGGAGGGTCAGCTGCACTCCTCTGACAGCATGCTATGCCAGGTAAGGAGCCTTGGGAATGTGGCTCATAACATGTTGGGCCACAATTGAAAGGCTGGTGGGTTTGGAAGTACCAGCTTACACCACAGGAGTGACAAGCAAAGACACACAGCCTCTGAAAGCAGATGGAGGCTGCTGTAAGTTGACAGATTCCGTGGATGGCAGGAGGTTGTGGTTTGGGGTTTTGGTTTTTCATATGCCAGGCAAGACGCCTGGTGGCATGGCGTGTCACACAGTGTGGTACTCATTGGGCAAAGCTGGGTCTTCAACACTTTCGGTTCTAGAGGCTTGTGGGTTTGACCTCCACAGCTCGAGCTGGCTGTGCTCCTGGCCTCTCGGAGCTGACATTCTAGTGCCAGAGACCAATGAGTTGATAAGGGAAGTGGTGGGCAGAATGTATGTACACAAAAGGGAATTTTTCCAGAATTCAGAGCTCTGAAAGAAGGCTACCGATACTGTGCAGCGAAAATGCCTGGACGCATTCTTGAGAGAGAAGAGCAAAGGCCTGGAGGCAAGAGGGGTGACTGGCTCAGGGCAGAGTGTGCGTTTCTGTGCTGGGAGAGAAGAGGTTCCCCTGTGGTTGCTGGTGGCCAGGTTAGAGGTAGGAGTTGGGCTGGGCCCAGATTTAGCCTTGTTAGGAGAGGCTGTTCCTTGGAGCGGGACATTCTGCATGGAAAGGGGGATGATCAGCAAAAGAGAGAAAGTCCCTCAATGAGACGGATTGACATAGTGCCTGCAGCAATGAGCCCACGTGTGTCAGAGACGAGGAGGATGGCGCAGGATGGGACAGGGCTCCGAGCTGTTGCTCACAGAATCGCTGTGAGTCATCCTCGACTCAACAGCACCAAGCAACAACCACCATCCTGGAGAAGAGTGATGGAAGGAGAATCAGAGCCACTGAGTGGTGGTGGAGGAGAAGATACGGAACACTCCATGGACGTTCAAAGAATAAGCATGTCTTAGAGACTGTGCAACCAGGGTGCTCCTTAAAGGCAAAGATGGGGAAGCTTTGTCTCACATACTCGGGCATGTTGTTCGGAGGGGCAATTCCCTGGGAAGTAACATCACGCTTGGAAAGGTGGAGGGTTAGCCAAAGAGAGGAAGACCCTTAACACGTTGCCGCATACTTTTAAATTGACGACTGTGCTTAGAAACACATTTTTTTTAACCGTCATTTGCGGCATGTTAACAAAGTGGGTTAATACAGTGACTGTAGCACTAGGCTTGAGTATATCAGAGATGACAAGGAGGGCACAGGGCAGGGCAGGGTACAAACCTGCCATTCATAGGGTCTCTGCGGGTTGTAGTGGACTCGATGACACCATCCTGAAAGGGTCCTGAAGAGACCATCTTGAAGCCCTGGTCCAGATGAACTCCAGTCCTGGCTGCTGCCCTGCCCCCACCCCTGGCCTTTATCACACTCCGCATCATCCATCATCGGAGAGGGGAGAGCAGCACTCCCCGGGAGCATCCGTCTCCTGCTCTGAGAAATGGACATGGAAATCCCCATCCTGTCCCTTCCCAGGGCATGATGATCCTAGTGAGGTGCCAGCAAAGAGCTGTGGGCTGAGAGGCACCCATGGCCCCCAGCCCCTCCCTGCCAGTTCCTTCCTCCTCTCTTGCTGGTCTCCCCACCTCCCAGGAGGGCTCATGAACAGAACTCGAGACAGTATACACCTTGTCAGCCCTTAGAAATGAGACCTGTTTAAAAGCGACATATGAGTAGGTATTATTGTCACGACATGAATCCAGAATGAAGGCTGCATAGTGGAGTGGACTTGGAGGGAGGGATTGTATAACAATGAAAGAATTTCTCTTTTACTTTTTTTTTTTATTTTTTTTTTCCTCTTTTACTTTTCAAAGAGAAGAACGAATTGGAGGGGAAGGGTGGGCAGGGAGAAAAGTGCAACATTAATGAATGAATGGAAATACAAAGTCTCTGTAAATGTTCATTAAAATTAATTTTTAAAAAAACAAGTGGAGAAAAAAAAGAAATGAGAGCCACTTTCGGGGGGGGGGGGGGGCAGAGGGTGGGCAAAGGGGCCTGGAAGTCCAGCCTTCCAGACAGGAGGGGCAGGGCTATGAAGTCCATGATGATCCTTGTCCCCTCACAGTGGACCCCAACAAGGAGCGCTGCGAGGCTGTGAAGCTGAAAATTACCAAGTACCTGCGGCGGGCAGAGGAGATCTTCAACTGCCACCTGCAGAGGACGCTGGGCAGCGGAGCCAGCCCGGACACGGTGAGCAGATCCTGCAAGGGCCTGATAAGAGGGTCTCTGAGGGCAGAGCCAGAGGCCCTCACACCCACAGGTGAAGGGCTACCCTGCCTCCATCCTGGGCTGCAGGCAGGGTGGGCATACGTGTCAGGAACACTCCATTGCTCTCTTCTGGCTTCCTCTTAACCAGTATCGATCACACATTCAGCAAACCCTGAATCACCGTTCTGCCCAGCCTCACTCCTTCACAGAGTAGCTGACGAGTGTACAGACCTCATATCTGGCTGTGCATGTACTTGCCTGTGGACACACAGTGGTCTCAGATTTTGTTCTTGTCATACGAATGGATGCACAGTGTTTAGAACAGCCGTGAATACACACGTGAATGCATAGACACACGCTCTCTGAGTGATATTTTCTCACTCAGTGTGGTGCAAGGTGCATAGATACTTCTCCACAGGTTTGCGCAGACACACACGTGTCCGCCAGGGATCTCTGGATTTTTCTTCCCTGAGATGTGCATGTTCCTGGGTTACTTCTGTGCTCTCACCCTGGAAGTGTCCCGAGGATGGAGATTTTGAGAAGGGAGCTTCTGAAGCCCCAAGCACCCTGGGCCTTGAAGGGAAACAAACTGAGAAGATGGGGGTGGCCTGGCCACCCTGTAGTGGGGGAGCCCCCCAACTTCTCCAATCATCCAGCTTCTGCCCTGGAAGGTGGGGTATTATGGCCCCTTTTCCTGCCCTGTGGCCCTCCTTGCCACCCTAGCAACCAGAAGTCCCTGGGTGCTTGGCATGACTGTGGTTCAGATGCTCCATCTGTCCTCCCGCAGGGTTTCAGCAGCCTGCGACTCCGGCCCATCCGCACACTGAGCTCGGCCCTGGAACAGCTGCGGGGCTGCAGGGTGGTCGGGGTCATTGAGAAGGTGAGTGGACGCTTGTGGTGTGTGTGGACGGTAGGGCCACCTGGGAGGGGGGATGTGCTTGTGAAGGAAGCAGCCAGTCCAGTCCACAAAAGGGTGAAAAGGATTCAGAGGGCCACAGGGAGGTGAACATCTGTATCCAGTGGGTTCCCATCCCATCCTGGCATACAGATTGAGTCCTAGAAGGGAAGATTTGGGACAGAAGCTGCTGACAGTAGCTGTTCCACAGCCCTCAAGCTCAGATACACAGAACGCCCACTCCCATCAGATACGGGACAGAAACCTGTAGCTGTGCCCAGGGCATCCCGCCAGCACTCACTGTCTGGCTCTGTCCACTTTCCAGAGGGCCCCTCCGCAGTCACCCTGCACCCAGGGCTGCAGCCAAGACTCTCCCAGGCCTCTCCTTCCCTTCCACACAGAGCATGCCCATTTCTGTGGCTGCGATGTTGACCTCTCCAGAAACCTGAGGCACAGAGTGTCCACATTGGCCTTGCCACCATCCTGGGCCATGCTGTCCTTTCCTTCTGGTGCCCCAGCCTTATCCTGACTCTACCTTGGATTTTCTCCTTCGATTTGGAGCTGCTGTTGTTGTTTTATGTGCAGTGGAGTCTGAACCCATTGCTGAGTTTTCATAGACAGTTAATCACATGGGAGAAGACTGTCTGTTTTACTCCCACAGAGATTCAAACCATGAGCCTTTGGATTGGCAGTGCAACAACTTACCACTAAGCCACCAGAGCTCCCCTTCAATTTGGTGTGGAAATGGAGAGGAGAGTTGACACACTAGCCCTTTCTTGGGACCCTCATTGTTAGAGTAGGGAAGTCAGAAAGGAAATGAAACGTGAACTGGAACTTCATTGTCCAATACAGGAATGCCTGTCTGGCTAACTCATACTCACAAGTTCATTAGCATCATTTGGGGTGCATCTTGAAGAAACAGATGCCTGGACCCTGTCCCAGACCCATCGAGTCAGCGTGATGAGGGTTATTGCTTTGTTTTTAGGTGCTTTTGAGTTGACTATGACTCCTAGTAACCCTGTGAAAAACAGATCGGAACCCTGTCCTGTCCTGCGCCATCCTCCCTTTGCTGCAGTCCCTGTGACAGTCCATCTGGTTGAGGGTCTGCCTTGTCTAGGAAGCTGTCATTTAAAAATCCCATTGAGTAATCCTGCTGGGAATGAGAACCCACAGAGGAAAGGAGGCCCAGCGTGCCCCAAGCCCAGGAAGAGGATGCATTGCCAGGGGGGCCGATCCCACTCCAGCACCCAGGCAGTGCCCAGGGTGACCTCGGGCAAGTCCTTTCACTTCCCTGATCTTGAGTTTGCTCATCTGTAAAGTAGGGTGAGACACCTCCCCTGTGGGGTAATCTGGGAACTGGAGTGAAATGTTTTGGGAAAGGGCTGGCACACACCAAGACGTTTAATAAATGTTTGATGGCTCTAAATACTGGTGACAAGAGTAAGTGGAGAGGCGAGCAGGCAGGCCTCCCGTCCCCGGGCCTGGCTCCAGCTGCTTCTCCAAGGCCCCTGGAACAGGCCCCAGGCTGTCAGCGTCCGGCCCAGCCAGCTTCCATCTGCAGCTCGCTCTCCCGCTGCACTAGGCTGTGTGGGAGCCACCACCCCACCTCGGCCAAGCATAGCTGTTCCCACGGGCAGCCTGGAGAGGTGACCACACCAGCGTCTCCCAAAGTGGCGTCTGCTGGGCCCAAGGTGTTCCAGAGAGAAGGAGTCCAGATCAAATAGTTTGGAAACAGTGAGTTAAGTCACACTGTTTTGCTTTTCCATTGTAGACACTCTTAGAGCTTGTAGGGTGTAGATGTAACTGAGCCTTCATAAGGGAGACAGAATTCCCCATATTTATTTGTTTAACCTCAAGACTCATTTTTGCTGAATGTTTTAGAAAGCCGTGCTCTGAGCTTTACTCACATGGAAAGTACAGATTAACGCCAACTCACCATCCTGTCTTACATTTGTCCTTCTGGGATTTTTAAGTCTTGCCCCTTTTTTCCGGGCATTCCATTTATCTGCTCCACCTATGTCCTGACTCCTGCTTCCATTCTCAAACCAAAGACACTTTTTTTTTTTTTAGGAAAGGTGGCAGGGCCACTGGGCCCATGTCCTGAGCCAGGCCAGGATGACTGCTGTAGCCCCGCTCGCCCCCACAGCTCTGCCCAGGCAGATCCCAGCAGGGCAGGGTGCAGGGTGCAGTTAGTAGAACCCCCCACCCCCAGTTCCAGAGGAGCAGCTAAGAGCTTGCTCAGAAAGAGTTGTGAGCTGCCCCCCAAAAGTTTCCAGTTGTTGGGGTTCATTCTGCTGAGAAGGGGAACTCAAGGGATTAAGAGATGCTGGAAGGGTCAGTGGATGGTGGAGTCAGGGAGTCAGCAGGCAGCTGATCAGAACTCCTGAGGGTCCTCTGCTGGAGAGCGCGAGGGCCAGGAGGCATTACCAGGTATGTGCTGACCTTCATCCAGGCCCTGGGGAAGAAATATAAGGTCATCTAAGTCGTTCATCATGGCAAAGAGGGTGAAGATGGCTCGGACAGGACAAGGCTCCGATCTGTGGTTCATAGGCCTGTTAGGCATTGTAGGCGACACAGTGGCACCTAACAACAAGAAGTCATTCAGAGACGGATCTTTAAACCAGAGCTTGTAACTGACAGCTCTCCCTCCCCCTGGCTGAATTTGGACCACACACGTGATTTATTTGAGTGCCTTCTTGCTTATTAGTTACCAACATTTAAAAGTTGGCAGATTTCACAGAAAAGTCCAGATTTCCTGTTTCTCCTGAAAAACTAGAAAAGCTTCACGTAGCATCATAGGAATTATGGTTTTTTACACTCGCCATCCCCCTCTGCACTCAGCCCATCTCTTCATATATCCCACCCCCATGGGGCCTTGGAGTTAAACTTGGTTGAAACTTTTGGGCTTGTTTGCTCTGTAAAAGATTCCTACTGGGCTTTTGGCTCTTGAGACTTCTTTAAAGAAAGAGTTCACTGTGTTTCACCAAAGCTTTCATGATCTCTGGGTCCCAAGAACTCACTTGAATTTCCTTTTGTAAAAAGGCTTCTTTAAAACAGGTCCACCAGATGCTCTGCTGGAGAAGGAGGGGCAATCTCCTCCTGTATCTGTCAGATCTGATTTGACGGCACACACACACAAAATAATAAAATAAAATAAAAAGGAAAAAATTTTAAGTGAGAACAGGCACTCAAAACTGCCTTCCCATTTTCCCAATGGTGATGCTTACCTAACATTCCTAAAATAATTTGGCTTTTCCTCAAAGTTAGTCCAATCCAGACAGTGGCTCTGAAACTAAGTCCTGTGCTGTCCAAAACAGTAGCCATTAGCCCCGTGAGACTATTTAAAAGTATTCAAATTATTTCTCAATGGCACTAGCCACATTTCAAGTGCCCCACAGGCAAGTGTGATTAATGACGCCCAAATTGGACAGAGTAAAGTGTCCCCACTGTGGCAGAAGGTTCTGTTTGACAGTGCTGCATTTTAGTAATCATTCAACAGATAATGAAACAGAGGTTCAGAGGGGTCAAGTGACTAGCTCAAGTGATCCCCTAGACTTTGAGCCCCAGCCCTCAAAAAAGTGTTTGGGGGTGTTGATTTTGGGCTTTATGGTTTACTAGGAAAAGATGCACTCTGCCATCCTTTTGAGATATACTGAAAGAAACAAAAGTGTAACAGAGAAAATAAATCCTTCCACTTTCCTACCTAATTCTAAAAAAATAGCCTGTTCTCCATCATGGCGCAGGATCAAGGCGAGAAAGAGAACCCGGTGTGGGAGCTGCACATCCGCAAACTCCGCCTCAACATCTGTGCGGGTGAGAGTGGAGACAGGCTGACCCGGGCCGCCAAGGTGCTGGGGCAGCTCACAGGCCAGACTCCCATGTTCTCCAAAGCTAGATACACCGTCAGATCCTTTGGCATTAGGAGAAATGAAAAAAACTGCTGTCCACTGCACAGTCCAAGAGGCCAAGGCAGAGGAAATCTTGGAGAAAGGTCTAAAGGTGCGGGAATATGAGTTAAGAAAAAATAACTTCTCAGATACTGGAAACTTTGGTTTTGGGACCTAGGAGGACATTGATCTTGGGATCAACTATGACCCCAGTATTGGTATCTATGGCCTGAACTTCTGTGTGGTGCTGGGTAGGCCAGGCTTCAGCATCGCAGACAAGAAGCGCAGGACAGGCTGCATTGGGGCCAAATACAGAATCAGCAAAGAGGAGGCCATGAGCTGGTTCCAGCAGAAGTATGATGGGATCATCTTTCCTGGCAAATAAATTCCCGTTTCTAACCAAAAGACCAATAAAATGTTTTCACAAGGTGTAAAAAAAAAAAAAAGATAAATGAATTGTGCAGGTTAAGCCTTTGGCTGCTAGAGAAAGGTTGGTGGTTTGGACCCAGCTCAGTGAAAGACTTGGCAGTCTGTGTCCATAAACATTAAACAAGATTCAACCAAACCCATTCCCCTGTCAATTCCAACTGAGAGTGATGCTTCAGGACAGCGCAGCAATGCCCCACAGGGTCACAGGGTAAAACTGGGCTGCTCCTTGGAGGCAAGGATTCTGAAGCTTCCTCTGACATACTTTGGGCATGTTGCAAGGAGGGACAGGTCCTTGGAGAGGGACATCATGCTTGGGAGGACAAAGGGACATCGCAGGAGAGGAAGATCCTCAATGAGATGGATCAATTTGGTGATTGGGGCAATGGGAGTGGGTGTGTCAGAGACAGTGAGGTTGGCACAGGATAGAGCAGGGTTTAGGGCTCATATATATAGGGTCGAGTCGCAAGCGACTCGAGGGCACATAACAACAGCAGTTACATACATGAATCAGAAAGCAAAGATACTCATTGTTAAATTGTTCGCCTCATTGTTCTGGGATAGATCAGTAGATTCTAGTAGTTTTTTAAAAAACCACAGCTGTTATCAATCAAAGGATCAAGTTTTGCATTCGGCTTCCCCAGCCTTTATTGCTCTTTTTTGGGTGGGTTT